CCAGCCTTTAAATATATTTTTATTGATTTCAGAGAGGAAGGGAGAGGGAGATAAAAACATCAATGATGATAGAGAACCATTCATTGATTGGCTGCCTTCTGCACACTCCCTACTGGGGATCAAGCCTGCAACCTGGGTATGTGCCCTCACAGGGAACTGAACTGTGATCTACTGGTTCATAGGTCAATGCTCAATTACTGAGCCATGACGGCCGGGTTCTGCAGCCTTTAAATGTTGGACTTGTCTCTGGTCTTATGACTTCAAATTGTTTTTCTTCTCCATCTACTTTCACTCCAATCTCATGACTTTAAATGCCCTCTACATGCTGAAAATTAAATCTCAAAAATCTTTAGCTGGAACCTCTCCCCTGAATTCCACAGTCTAAATCTGCTCCTCTCACATCCTGGTCTCAATAAATGACAACTCCATTCTTCTAGTTGCTCAAGTCAAAAGCCTTGCAATCCCTTCTTTTTTTCTAGCCCTATAAATCCAATCTGATCCAACAATAATCCTATTGGCTCTACTTTCAAAATATACTCAGGCCCTGATCAGGTAGCTGAGTTGGTTAGAGTGTCATCCTGTTATGCCAAAGTTTTGGGTTCGATCCCGTCAGGGCACATATAAGAACCAACCAATGAATGCATAAATGAGCGGAACAACAAATCAGTGTTTCTCTCCCTTCCTCTCTATCTCTAAAATCAATTAAAAACACACACACACAAAATATTCAGAATCTAACCCTTTATGATCCCCTCCACTGCTATCATCCCAGGCAAGCTACCTGTTATTACTATACTAGCCTATTACTCTCCCTGCTTCTTCCCTTGCCCTTTACAGAGAGTCTCTGTTCAACAGAGTAATTCTTTTAATTTTTGTTTTGTTAATCCTCACCCAAGGATATTTTTCCATTGATTTTTAGAGAGTGGAAGGGAGCAGGAGAGAAATATTGATGTGAGAGAGACACATCAATTGGTTGCCTCCCACAAGCTCACTAACCAGAGCAGGTGCAACAGAGTTAAGTGCCCTTGACTGGAAATGGAATCCTTGACTCTTTCATCCTCAGGCTGACATGCTATGCACTGCTTTTTTGTCTGCTTGGAATGCCCTGCCTTGAGATCTGCATAGATGACTCCCTCATTTTTTTTTTTAAATATATTTTATTGATTTATTACAGAGAGGAAGGGAGAGGGATAGTTAGAAAGATCGATGAGAGAGAAACATCGATGAATCAGCTGCCTCCTGCACACCCCCTACTGGGGATGTGTCCGCAACCAAGGTACATGCCCTTGACCGGAATCGAACCTCGGACCCTTCAGTCTGCGGGCCGACGCTCTATCCACTGAGCCAAACCAGTTAGGGCACACTCCCTCACTTTTAAGGTCTCTGCTCAAATGTCACCTATCAGCAGGCTTTCTCCGATCATCCAACACAAAATGCCAGTCCCTGCCAATGGCACACCTTATCTTTTTTATCTTGCTTTACTTTTCTTGTTGGCACTTACAACCACCCGACATACTCCATATTTGCTGATTACTTGTTGAGAGCCTTGAGAAAACTGTCATCTTGTCTGTTTTGTTTACTATTGTGTTGCCTAGAACAGTGCCTGGCACATAGCATGTCCTTAGTATATTCCTGTTGAACAAATCAAATGATCTGATTTTGGATATTTATAAAACTTATATTGAGGATTTTAAACACCAAAAGCAATGCAAGTGTTATTTAAAGACTCTTAAAGAGAGTGACCATCCATTTAAAAACAATAATGCATTATAATAACTGAAGAGCAGTTAGCTATAGTGTGCAACATGTGCAATTGGTGATACATATATCTATGCAATAAGGACAGAACAGTCTGTGACACTATTGATTGGCCGCCCATCAGTCAGTCGACCTCCACACTCCACCTTATTCCTTGTTTACCAAATGGCATTATGTTCAGGTTTAGGGAGACTAAACCTAGGTAATAATCTTGATTAATTTAGCCAACTTTAGTAATTCCATTTCTCTTACTAGTAAAGTAGTTAGGGAAATAGCACATGATCCAATTATGGCTAAATCTGTTGGGAAGTTTCTGGTAAAAATTTTTAAAGAGAAAGAAAAAGCACAAGATGGAAAATTCCCTTTTCTATTTCTGGTCGTCAGAAGAAGGAGGTGCTGCCCTGACTGGTTTGGCTCAGTGGATAGAGCGTCGGCCTGCGGATTGAGGGGTCCCAGGTTCGATTCTGGTCAAGAGCATGTACCTTGGTTGGGGGCACATTCCCAGTAGGAGGTGTGCAGGAGGCAGCTGATCGATGTTTCTCCTCTCATCGATGTTTCTAACTCTCTATCCCTCTCCCTTCCTCTCTGTAAAAAAATCAATAAAATATATTAAAAAAAGAAAAAGAAAAAAGAAGAAGGAGCTACCATCTGGCAACTAAGATGGGATGGCTAAGAGGAGATAAGCTGGAGTTTATCAGATTATCAAGATGCTGCATTAACTGACTCTCCCGTTGAAGAAGATAGTAAGTGAAGTAGGTTATTATTTTTATCTTTATACATGGGGAAAACTGATGCATGGAGAGACCAAGTAACTTGTCCAAGGTCAGAGTGGTACAGCCAGGATTCAAATTCAGGCAACTTGGCTCCAGAGTCTTAACCTCTACTTTGTGAACCTCTCCAAAGCAATCTAACTGATGCACAACCACTTCCAGTGACACTGTGGGTCTTGCTTGATAATACATTTGTTCTCGGTCATCTATAGGTTTCCATGGGTAACTGCATTGCACATATATTGTAGTGTTGCAGCTGTACATACATATTATGTTTTTTTCCATTATTGCACACTCTTGTAAACAAGAGTTCTAAACTCTAAAAAAAATTTTACTTGAAACACGTCAGATAAAGTCCCAGACACTCCGAGAAAGCTATCTTCTCCTGTAACCCTTAAATCTACTTATTTCAGCATATGTAAAGAGGTAAAGACCTGAAATAATCCTCCCCCACCCACCCATATACACTAATAATGTTTATTGAATAACTGAGATAAGGTGGTCAATGAGTGCATTCTTCCTGTAATGCATCCCATGCAATGCTGAGGAGGAAATATTAGGGAAAATGAAAGAGTTTCCTTGCCCTTATGGAGCTTAGTGGTGTAGTGGAACAGACAAGACAATTTGATTACACGTGGAATGGTTGTTGTGAAGTGCTAGGCACAGTGCCAGCTATGGAGTCTTACCTTTAAGCTGTGAGGGAAGATTTCTGACGGACAGTACCTCTTGCACAACATACTGATTCACCCCTCCACTTTTCAACAATTCCTCTGGGGTTAAGGGCAGATGGAACTCACACAGTTGGGGAGACATCCTTCTCCCACTGGCTCACAGGGCTGGAAACCAAACAGAAAATATCTAAGGCTTATTTTTTCTTCTAGTTCTTCTCTCCCTCCCAATATAGAGTGATTTTTAGTCTTACATCATGCAGGTAACATCTTAGAGGATATGAGATCAACCCAGGAGTAGAATCTCATTTCACTCATGACTCTGCCACTTGGTTATGTCATGGACCTCATCTGTACAATGGGGTTATTAGTTTCTGGTCACTTTACATAGGTGCTCTGGGTCAAGGGGTATTAAAGTGTGTAAAGAACTGTAAAGCGGCCTATCAATCCCCTGTGTTTGCATTATTATTTGTTTTTATGGACAAAGCTTATTAAGTAGAATGTCTCGCCTGAGACCAGAACAATGGCCTGGCATGTGGGTTTCCTGGCTCTAGAATGGGAGAGCATTAATATTTATTACATGTTTACTGTATGCCAGGTCTTATTAGGCTATTTGAATAGATCATATCTGATTTAATTCTTCAGATCCCACTCTCATGGAGTACATAACACAGCCCAATTAACAGATGATGAAAATGAGGCTAAGAAAGCTTAAGCCTGAAGGCAAGAGACTCACGCAAATTCTGCCGCAGACCTATCAGCCTGTTTCTACCACATCGTACCCCCAGGATATGCCCACTAGACCTCCCCGCCTCTCGCAGGCCGCCTAACACCGCGCGCGTCCCATTACCCGTGCCCCCGGTACCCTATTTTCCCAGTCTTTCCATCATCCGCTCTCCATGACCACCACACCTTACCCGAGAACCTCACCGGTCGTTCCTGGGACTCGGGTAGTGGAGCTGAAATGGAGAAAACCGGCCAATCCCCAGCAGGCGGAGGCAAAAACCTGCCTCTGAGCCAGGCGACGCGCGGGCAAAGCCACGAATGTGGAGTTCAAATCCCAACGGCCGCAAGGGGACCAATCGCGACGCTCGCTGCAGAGGCCGACCAATCACAGCGCAGGATCCGGAAAGCCGGGCCGCGCCGCCTAGAGAGGGGCGGGGCCTCGTTACAGAATCTGGACTCCAGCGCCCTAATCTTGCGGCTGCTGCCTTCCCTGCTTGGTCCTCTGCCCTGTCGGTGGGGAGGAGGCCCCGGCAGTGTCCGCCAGGGATGCCGCGTTCCTAGCTGAGCAGTGGTAGAGCCCCTGGAGTAGTGACCCACTCAGTCAAACCCAGGACTGGAGCCAAGTACAGGCCGGGATTGAGAAGGTGTAGGATCTAGTCCGGGTCCCGCCATTTCCTCTGCTACGTGACGTCCAGCAAGTCACTTCACTCAGGAGCCCGATTTTCTCCCCTGTACAATAGGGGTAGTAAAAAAAAAAAGCGACAGCGCAAAACTGCTGTGAGGCATAGAAAAAGGAAGCTCTGGGTTCCAGGGTCTGGACCATCTCCCTCGCAGCTGGGGGACGGCCAAGAAAACAAAAGAATGAATTTTTTTGAAATCCAGTTTTGGGACACACGACGGAGAGACTCCCTCACCTCTACTACCGCTCCAAGACTTCCGGCTCGCAGAACGGAAGCGCCTAGGCGGGGCAGGGTCTGAGTGACAGACACCCGGGCCTCTGTGCGCCCGAACTCGGAAGGCGGGGCTTGTGGCTGGGGAAGGAGGAGCTTAGGAGCTCGCTGCGCCCAGAGCTATCTGGGTAAGGCCCAAGATGGCTGCTTCCACCTAGTGCCGACGTGAGGGCAGCACGAGCGGTCCCTGCCATCTCCTTGAAGCTCACGTCTGGCCAGCACTCTTCCATAGCTGCATGCTGTGGTAGGGGAGGGACGAGAACAATGGCAGGGTGCCTCGCTGCGGACGCAGGAAGGCGCCTGTGGAGCTGGGTGCCCCAGGCCTGCAGAAGTTTCTCTCTGGGTAAGTGGCGGATGGAGAGAGACGCCCGGAGAACTGCTTTTCAGTAAGCGGCCAGGATTCAGTCTCTTCCTTCTCCATCCCTAGGTGTTCCTGACTTGTATTTTGTAAGGCATACCGTCCCGCCCCCCAAAGTGGTTGATCGTTGGAACGAGAAGAGGGCCATGTTTGGGGTGTATGATAACATCGGGATCCTGGGTAAGACTCGACTCCCTTGCACAGAATTTAAGAATGGCAATTACGTTGTAACAATGGCCTTTCCCCCCCCCCCCCCACCTGTGTAGGAATGGTACCGTGCTCAATAGCAAAGAGCAAACACTTATGTGGTTATTTACGTTATACTGGGCATTGTTCTGAGTGTCCTACATGTATTAACTCATTTAATCCGCATAATAACGTTTTCACTTTACAGGTGAGGAAACTGAAGCATAAAGAGGCTAAGTAATTTTTTCAAAACTAGCAAATAGCAGTGTCAGAATTTGAACCCCAAACAGTCTGGCTCCAAAGTCTGTGCTCTTGATACTGTAGTGTAATGTGTCTCGTCTGTAGGGGCTGCTCTGAACGGTGCAACTGTATGCGGAAGGCTTAGCAGCTGGTCGAGGCTGTGTTGTCTTGGAACTAATATGTTCTCTCACATTACACAGGAAATTTTGAAAAGCACCCCAAAGAACTAATCAGGGGCCCCAAATGGCTTCGAGGCTGGAAGGGGAATGAATTGCAGCGTTGTATCCGAAAGAAGAGAATGGTTGGAAATCGGATGTTCAGTGATGACCTGCACAACCTTAACAAACGCATCAGCTATCTCTACAAACATTTTAACCGACGTGGAAAGTACCGGTAGAAGAGTAAGCTGGGGACTGTGGAAGAGGCATATCTAACATCCAGGTGGAGGGAAACAGTACTTTTTTCCCTATGAGGAAAGGAATTTGTATGCTCTCCGTAATAAAATGAGGCTTCTTTAGAATCTGTTATCCACACACTTTATTTTCCTCTAGATGCTACTTTTACTTGCATAGACTATGAAGTCTGACTCATTCCTAAGTCTTAGAGTCTGAGATTTGGACTTTACCACTTGCCTTTTGCAGTCTAGCCATGTCTGTGGCCTTTAAAAAAGAAAAATTATTGTTGGCATTTTTTGACATTTGGGCTTCATGTATTGAAAGTGGTAATTTTTAATTGCCTCTTAATGTTAAATATATTTTAAAAAATCCACAGTGGGCCTGGCTGGTGTGGCTCAATGGTTGAGTATCAACCTATAAACCAGGAGCCCAGGTTTCAGGCTTGGTCCACAGTTGGGGGCAGGAAAGAGGCAGCCGATCAATGATTCTCATCATTGATTTTTCTATCTCCCTCTCTCTCCCTCTCTGAAATTAATAAAAATATGTTTTAAAAAAATCCACACTGGAGTAAAATGTAATGGAAAAGTGGCATTATATTTCTGTACTATTCTTATAAAAACTATTGGTTACCTTTTCTGAGCAGAAAATTGTAGGAGAAACAAAAATGTGTAATATATCCTTGACCCACTCTCTGATATGCTTTTCTAGTTAGGGATACCCTAGCCTATCCTATATAATAAAAGGGTAATAGGCAAATGGACTGAACAGCAAATAACTGGTCGCTATAACATGCACTGACCACCAGGGGGCAGATGCTCAATGCAGGAGCTGCCCTCTGGTGGTCAGTGCGCTTCCACAGGGGGAGCGCCGCTTGGCCACAAGCTGGGCTGGCAAGCACAGTAGCCCACCTCTGGCAGCACTAAGGAGCGGGCCTAAGCCGCGGTCGGACATCCCCAAGGCTCCTGGACTGCGAGAGGGCTCAGGCTGGGCTGAGGGACCCCCACCCAAGTGCATGAATTTTGTGCACCAGCCTCTAGTGCAGCAGTTCTCAAACTGTGGGTCGCGACCCCTTTGGGGGTCGAATGACCCTTGCACAGGGGTCACCTAAGACCATCGAAAAACACATATATAATTACATATTGTTTTGTGATTAATCACTATGCTTTAATTATGTTCAATTTGTAACAATGAAATTGGGGGTCACCACAACATGAACTGTATTAAAGGGTCACGGCATTAGGAAGGTTGAGAACCACTGCTCTAGTGTGTGTGTGTGTGTGTGTGTATATATATATATATTCTTCAGAACACTGTGCACTTAGCAGTCTCAAATATTTGATTGTCTCCTCTCCAGTCCCACCAAATTATGTAAGGTATTCCAGAGCCACTCATATTTCATATCCACCTCTCCATTCTTATATCCAGCTCTTCTCCAGCCATCACTTGAAAACACTCTCCCATATTATGAGCCCCGATACATAATATCTACATTTCCATAAGACCCAGGATCGTAATTTATGTTCACACATACCCATATCCACTTCTCTGAAACGCTAAACTTTTCACGTAGGGAGCAGGCCTAAGCCGGCAGTTGGACATTCTTAGTGCTGCTGGGGGAGGCCAGAGAGGCTCCCGCCACCGCCGCTATGCTTGCCAGCCGTGAGCCCAGCTTCTGGCTGAGCGGTGCTCCCCCTGTGGAAGTGCACTGGCCACCAGGGGGCAGTTCCTGCGCTGAGCGTCTGCCCCCTGGTGGTCAGTGCATGTCATAGTTACTGGTTGTTCTGCCATTTGGTCGATTTGCATATTAGCTTTTTATTATATAGGATATTTTAGTAGAACATGTGATTATTAGTGAAGAGGAAACTGATAGTTCAGTTCAGTGAGCATTTATAAAATGTTTCCTGCTGTGAAAATATAAAAGGTCTTGTTTTCAAGGACAGAACAATCTTGTTTTAGGTGTGAAACAGTATGTAACATTTTCATTCAATAAACACTGAATCATATGTGCAAGGTTATTTGTAGGGACATAAATCACTGTCAGGATTGATTCCTAACTCTCAGTAGCTTTCATTCTACTTAAGAGATATATATGTAAACAATATGAATTTGAATATGGTAATTGCATAGAAAAATTAGAGACTTCTAAGAGTTTTTTCTTGGCTGGGGTGGGGGAGTGGGTAGTCAGAAAAGGTATTTGTTGAAAAGATGACATTTGAGCTAAGTCTTGGAAAATTTCAGCTTAAGGACATGGGAAATCAATGTTAACTATGAACAGTAATATATGGGCAGCAGCTTTGATGAGTAAGAAATAATTCAGGTGGGTAGGGGAATGGGGGATAGCCTTGTCATGGGAACATAGACATGTGAGCAAAGGTGGCAACTACTGACACAGGTCCATAGGATTAAGTTAATGATCATTAACATATCAGTAATATTTTTCTAATAACAGGAAATAAGTTTTAGACAGGAAAAATAGCGCCAAATGACCAGGAGTCTAGCGAGGATGAAGACCTTAGATTTTTTTAACCCTGTAGACCAGAGCTGTTCAATCCTGGTTACATGTTAGAAACTTCTCAGAGGCTTTAACAAAAAACAAACAACAACAAAAAAGAAGACTCGGACCCATCCTACACCAATGAAATCAATCTGAGACTGGGTTCCAAGCATTCATGTTTTTAAAAGCTCCCAAGAGGTTCTAAATTAGGATTGAGTACCACTGCTTTGGAAAATGGAAGAAGGTAAGGGAATGCTTTTTAGGGTTCCTTTACTTTGATTTGGCTGAGTCTCTGAATTCATAATATTTTTGCTGTTTGATTTTTCTTGGTTTAATGTGTCTGTGTCTGTCTTCCCCATTAGTTAAGCCTCATTCCCACTGAAGGTAGGGACTGTCTTGTACATATTTGATTGCTGCAGTAGTTGAATATCTGGCATATTAGATATCTTTATATATGGGCTCTTTTTAGAAATATCGATTTTAGAGAAAGAGAAACATTGATTGGTTGCCTCCCATAGACACCCCAACTAGGGATCAAACCTGCATCCTAACTATGTGCTCTGACCAGGAATTGAACTGTGACCTCCCGTTTCATATGTCGACACTCAACCACTGAGCCACGCTGGCTGGGCTCCTTTTTATGATTAAAATAAAACCTGTTAAACGAGTAACAGAGGGAAATTTCATTAATTTGATAAAGATTATATACTGGAGATGAACAACATAGATTTATGGACATGTATTCCCTTTAAAAATCAGCAACAAGACAAGGATGCCCACTATTACTGCTGCATTATAACTTAGTACTAAAGGTCCTAGTCAGTGTTACAAAAAAATTAGTAGTTGCTAAGGGTTAGGGGTGGGGTGGGTGTGGCTATAAAGAGACAGCTCCAGGGAGTCTTGTGCTTGTGTAGTAGTTCTGTACTCTGATTGTGGTAAAAGGAATCTACACTATTTTATAAAACTATATACACATGCAGGCCCACACACACATATACTCAAGAATGCATGTAAAAATGGCAAAATCTGAATAAGCTCTGTGGGTTGTACCAATGTCAATTTCCTGGTTTTAATATTATAGGTGAAGGGCTATAGGGGAACCTCCCTGTATTATTTTCTTAATTTTAAAAGTATTTAAATTAAAAAAAAAATTAAGTGACTTAGTTTTCAGGGGAAAGTTGGTGGGGATACTTAGGTGTTCTTGCTGCCAAAAATAATTCCTCCCATTAATTTTGTCTTTGAGGGTTTATGATTCGTTTTCAGTTCCTACAAGTTGTCATTTTGGTGTGGTTATAGGAGGTAGATGGGATAAACACATGATCAGTACATTATGTTTCTAAGAGCAATTGTTTATTAGTTTTAAGCAGGGTCGTGACATTTGCATAGAGCATTCTGGTGGTTCCTTAAAGGATGAATATGAGGGAGGGCAAGACTAGAAACACAAAGTTATTTCACTAATTCTAAAATACACTTTTTAAAAATTTTAACATCTAAATTAGGATGTTTCAATATAACTGTTAGCCAAATGAGTATCTGAGGCTTCGAAGAAAATTCAGAGACAGAAGAGGAACACTGAGAAATGCTGTCTCACCAAAGTTCTTGATGACTGACTACATTGTGTGGAAAATTATGAACATCTAAGACTGAGTCAAAAAAAATGAATCATAAGAGCCTCAATATGACGTTTTAGGAATACTGTTACCATGTTATTCTTTTGTATTTTCTTTTTTTACATATGCACCAGAGTGAAATATAAAAATCTCTATATAAGTCTATACTTTCAATAAATATAAAAACAGTTCTGATAAGAAACATCGAGTCAGCTTATTTGCTACGTTTTTTCCTAGCGGGAGCTAAAATAATGTTGAGTTTTACAACGGATAAGAACAGTGAGACAAGGGGAGAGAATTCTTGAAATACTAACAAGGAAAAATCGACTCGACTTGGTGAATTATTAGAGGAGGGGTAAGGATGAACGGGGAGGAAGTCCAGGGTGGTGTCCGTTTGGGCCACCTAGTGGGTAAGGTACCTGGAAGGCACGGGAGGAGCAGGTTTGGCGGGAGGTTCAGTGTCGGATACACGGCGTGAGGCGCTTGTCGGCAGCGTGGAAGGAAACGGATGAACGAAGCCTGCGTATCTGCTTTGGGGGGACGGAACCCCCGCCCGGTACTTGGGCCCGAGAGCCTGCCGTTCTGCCTTGACAGACTCTGCCTCCGCGGAGTTGTTGGTCAGAGGCGGGCAGGTGGATGGGACGCCGGACAGATCTGGGCGTCAGGGCTGTGCGTGGACTGACAAACCACCGACTTCCCGGGGACTCCAGAGTCCCGGCCGCTGTGAGCCCGGACACTCAGCCGCTGTCGGCGAGAGCGGCGCGATTGGCTGGCGCTGCCGGCGCTGGGACCTTGGGCGGGGCCAGGCTTCAGAAACTGTTCAGCGATTGGCTAGCAGGCACCAGAAAAGGCTTAACTCGAAATGTTGGAGTTGCCCCTCCAGAGGGTTGAAGCGTGTTTCCACAACCCCCTGTCGCTTAGTTACAGATTAGCCAACTATACTCCTTTGATTGGCCAATTTGCTCGGGCTTCCCTTCTGGACTGCGCCTGTTCGGGGCGTGGATTGGGCCGCGGGATTGTC